ACTGGGGGGTCAAACCCAAAACAGTGCTCTAACCAACTATCAGGCCAGGGCCAGAAGGGTATTTTCTTAATCTCTGACTTCCTCCTCTTCACACCCTTTCTGGAGGAGCATCTGCCAGAAATACGGGCCCCAGCAAAGCTTTATCTGGCAGCCAGGGAGCCTGCGCAAAGCCACTGTGAGCAGCTGCAGCTCAGCGGGCCCCAGGTGGGACGCTGACGCGCATCTCAGATGATTGGCAGCAGGTGGCGGGCGGGGGAGTGTGTGTGAGCTGACTTGGGAGGGCTGAGCAATGCGACGGTGACAGGACAGGGTAGTTTGTGTTCAAAATTGTTTGTCTGGCCCTAACCGGTTTGGCTCAGTGGATAGAGCGTCAGCCTGCGGACTGAAGGATCCCAGTTTCTATTCCGGTCAAGGGCATGTGCCTTGGTTTCGGGCGCAGCCCCAGTGGGGGGTGTGCAGGAGGCAGCTGATGGATGTTTCTCTCTCATTGATGTTTCTAACTCTCTATCCCTCTCCCTTCCTCTCTGTAAAAAAATCAACAAAATATTTATTAAAAAATTGACAAGACAGAGCTTTATCAGGTGTCGGTAATGGGGCTGGCATTTGGAATGTCAGCCTTTCCCCCCTAATGAGATCCAGGAGAGACTGGGATGAGCCAGCCCTTTGGCAATGAGTTGGTCTGTCCGCGGGGTTGCTGTGACAGTCCTGTCATTGCAACCAGATTTCTCTCATGTTACACAGTGCAAAACAGGGCCCAGGTGAACCCGAGGACACGGTGTGTGCGGCCGAGACATCGCCATGGCTCACCCACGTCAGGGCGTCCGCACAGACAGCTCCTCTGCCGGGAGGGCCCCTCCCTCTCGCCCTGGGCAGCTCGGTGGGTGAAATGTCACTTAGCCAGGCTTCTCTGGCCGCCTGAGCCGCTCTGCTCCTCTCCCGCGGTGCTCATTCTCTCTCAGGCCTCTCCTCTGGAGAGTCCCAGTGGTGACTTCACATTTATTTCTGAGTTTATCTGATTAATGTTTTGCTCCCTCCTGGGCTGGAAGCTGCGGGAAGACAGAGACCTGGCTGCTCCATTCTGCTGAGGGCCGTGCCTGCACCCTGCGCCACAGCCATTTGTGTCTCACATCTGACTTTGCTGCCAGGTACCTAGTCCCACATCCAGCGGTGGCTCCATCCCAGGATTCTTCCCCTGGCATCTGGGGAGGAGTTATAATCCTCCAGATTTGCTTGCAGCCTTTTATGTGCATAAGCAAATGTGCATGGGGGGGGGGGGTATTCCTCAGATTCAAGGTTAAAGATATTCTCCGGTGCAAATGCTTACCAGCAATCACTGGCTTCCCTGCTGAACTCTAAATCTTCCTTCCTGCTTGCCTGTTCCTTAGCCATTCTGTTTTCCATGCCACTCTCTCTTATTATTGAAAACTTAGCTGGTGGGATTTTATCTGCCCGTCATCCTTATCTCTACTTGCAATAATATAAATTCTCTTCTCTTACAAACTACACCCCCCCCCACACACACACACACACACACTCACACACACGAGAGTGAGGCTGCCTAGGCCCAATTAGGATGAATATGTGACTTAACTAGCCAATAAGAGTGTCTCATTTCTCTAATTCTCAGGCTAGGTAGGGTGGAAACGGGAACTACTAACTCACACATCACCAACAGAGGCTTTTTGGGGGTTTTAAAAAGATGTTGAGGGGAAGGTGGCAGAACAGAAGTCCTGGCTAATTCATGGAGCTGCTGCCAGTGAAGACACATTTTAATACCTGCTGGTGGCCCTTGATGCTTCTACATGGGAGGGCATTCCTTGAGAAGGGAAATAGACAAGTGATGAGAGAGAGAGAGGGTGTGAGGACAAAAGAAAGGGGGAGTCTGTCCCAAGGACAGAGTTCGAGCCCTTGGATCCAGGCATGTTTCCCCTTAACAGGCCAATACATTCCCCCTTCTCGCTCCGATCAGTGGGAGTTGGGTTTCTGTCATTTACAACCTAAAGAACTCTTACCAGCTGTCTCAACGCGGGCTGCTGTAGCAAAACACCATAAACGTCAGACAGTCAGCGGTGTGTGCAGGCGGAGGGCACCTCTGATGTGTTCCGTTCACGGCGGGATCTGTTAGTCTCGTTATAGTCTCCTTGCCCCTCTCTCCCTGACTTCATCGCTCCCCCAAACCTCTCCCCTCTGTTCTGTTTTTATCATGGCTGAAAGGTTGTTCGAGGGCAGGCTAACTAAGCCATCTATTGTTGGCTGTTAATGATGGTGATTGAAGAAAATTTGAATTTATTTAAGGAAAGGGGGATGGGAGATGGGGATATCCAAAGGGAGGGGCTACATAGCACTGAGACAAAGATATTGGGGTTCATAATGGCAGCAAAAATATATCTAGGACAGTGAAACAAGGAAGGGCACTTAAGAAGCAACAGGGGGGCCCAAGCTGGGCTGCTGTGGCTCACTGGGAAGTCAGAGAAAGGGCGTTGACAGTTCAGGGAGTTGGTCTGGGAGGAGCTGCTGCTGCCCACTGCTCCCCTGGTTGCAAGTTTCATGGGTTCCTTAGAGGTTGGGAGATGCATGCCTGTGGGGGAAGAAGGTGGGGAAGTAATGGCACAGGTGTGCTCCTTAAAGAGAGAGCACACACTGGGTCCCGTGTCCTGAGCATATTTCGCGCCCTCTCTCTCTCTCTCTCTCTCTCTCTCTCTCTCTCTCTCTCTCTCTCTCTCTCTCTCTCCCTCTCTCCCTCTCTCCCTCTCTCCCTCTCTCCCTCTCTCCCTCTTTCTCTTTTGTAGGAAATCTCAGGGGAGCTCTCAGGGGAGGGTCTCAGCAGACGATTAATCAGCTCCCCAGGTGTGCTGCTTCAGGGTCCTGGCCTCCACTGATTGGCCGGTGCCAGGGCAGCGGGTCATTAGTCAGTACAGCTGGTCCTGGGGCAGCCGAGGAGTAGATATGAAAGATCTGGGTCTAAATCACATGACCAGTGTATGCTAGGGGACGATAGGTCACCCTGGGGGCAAGATTCTCATTTTCCCAGTGTTGCCCCTTGCTAGGCCCTCAGGGCTTTCTGCCCGGTGAGTTTCTGTCCCTGGCCAACCGTCCTTGCTCTGCGCATGTCTGTCTAACAACCACCCACTCCCTTTTCTGGCTGAACCCACTCTGCTGCCCTTTAGGGTTTCACATGGAGTTGGAGGAAAGAAGGGGTGGCAGGGCCATCAGCAAGGTGGTCGTCCACTGACAGAGCTGCTGACTTGGTCACTTCCCGAGACAGGTCACCTCACCTATTTCCTCTCCCAAACTCCTGGATGTGGGGGTTGGCGATAGACCCGCAGGCAAACCAGCTTCAGGAAAACCTCCCGGGGATAGGATTTGCCTCAAGGCTCCTGAAGAGTCTTTTTTTCTTTTGTTGGATGTGCTTTTCAAATGTGTTTGGAGCTTCCCTCTGGCAGCTAGAGACCCCGCTGGGAGTGAGTAGGAAAGGGCTCCATCAGCTTCTTTGCTCCCAGACGCTGGGTGGAGTGGAAACCAAGCTGAGAAGTGCTTCTGCTAATGAGCTCCCGGGCCCACGGAAGCTGTCCAAAAGTTTGTAAAACAGGCTACCCACCACAACTCTGGAGGGGCGGGGGGCGGATGGCAAGAACAGGCCGCGCCCTGCACCTGCTCTCAGGATGCATCTGGACCCGCTGGAGGCGCCGAGGCTCACAGTTTGCTCCCGCTCCCTCATCAGCATCTGCAGAGCCGTGTGCGAAGGACTCCTGGCTCCCAGCTGCTCTCGGTGAAGCAGCGAGAAGCAGCAGCCTTGGCTGCCGCCCAGCGGCCCCGCCTGCATGCTTCCTGCTCAGCGTGCTCCCCCCACTCTCACCAGCTGCCCCCAGAAGCCAGCCCTGCAACCAGTGACTCAGCCGGACGGACGCGGTGGTGGGGGACCGGCCCTGGCGGAGAGGAGCGGACAGAAAGCTGATTCTGACAGAGCACAGCAGCAGCATTGCCACCTAATGAATTCTCAGTGATTCCATTTGTGACACCCAATCCTCCCTGCGGGTCCAGAGAAGCAGATCCCCTGCTTTTTGCTTCCTCAAATGCAGCCTGAACCAAGCTCTAGATTCCCAAGCCCAGGGACCCCTCTTTCCTCTCTGGCACCCACCCTGCCCCTAGCCCGTGCCCAGGCGGTTGCACAGCAGCATTGAAAGGCTTTTATTTGGCAGAGGGAGGGCACAGCAGAGAGATGGTGCCCACACACCAGGCACCGGTGAGCCTGCACATGCAGCACACTGATGGGCACTCGCCCTGGGTGTGGCGGCTGATGGATGTGCCCATGATGCCCATGTGCCCACAGCTGCAAAAACCCCCTTGTCACCTCCTTTAAAAAAAAAATTTTTTCAAGACACCCTGCCCGTACCCACCCCCCCAGCAAGCCTTGTCATTCTCAGTTGGATCTCCTGGCACGTTGGGCTCTTACTCCTGTGGGCTCAGAGCCCCCGCCCCCCAAATAAACATGCATCCCCTAAAGATACTGGATGACCAACCCAGGATGCTGGACACGGAGAGACGGCACACTTCCTTTCTCCCCGCTCCAGCTGGGGAGAGAGGCTGCCCGCCAGCCCAGCACGGAGACATGGGAAGGGCACGGAGTCCGCACCCCTTTCCCCATGTCCCTGGGCCTGGGCTGTGCCCAGGGGCCTCGCTGTCCTGCCCAGGCCCTGCCTGGCTCTACACAAACCTCCTGTCCCAGGAAAAAGCCGTCTGGGCGCTGGCCAATGCAGCGTTTACAGGAGCATTCTCTTCTCGCGCAGCTTCTGTTCAGCCCAAAGGCTCCATCCTGCCCTCCCCAGGGGATCTCTGATGTTGAAGCGCCCCCGACCTGGCATGGAGCCTTCCCAGCAACTGCGGGGGGGGGGGGCTGTGGAAGGTGTTGGGTAGCAGCTACCCCTTCCCACCGGCCCCCCCCCTGTCCTCCCAGCGCAGTCCTGGGTGTTTGTCCGAGGCACCCAGGCGGCGGGGCAGCGTCAGGCGCCCTTGCTGTCTGTCCTCTCGTCCTCGTGGCTGACGGCTCGCAGCTGGCCGGGGCCCGCGGGCTTGACGGACAGGACCAGGCGCTTGCGGAAGGTCTCGCAGAGCACGATGTACACGAAGGGGTTGAGGCAGCTGTTGGCGTAGCCCAGGCTGATGGCCGCGTTGTACAGGTAGACGAAGGTGAGCGTCGGGCGGCTGATGGACAGCTGGGTGAGCTGCAGCACGTAGTAGGGCGCCCAGCACACGAAGAAGACCAGGCAGATGGCAATGGCCGTGCGGGTCACCTTCCTGGTCCGCAGGCGGATGCTGCGCTGGGAGGCGGGCGCCACGGAGGACGTCATGCGCTGCAGGATGCGCGCGTAGGCCGCCGTGATGACGGCGAAGGGCAGGGCGAAGGCCAGGAAGAACTGGTACAGCGTGAACCAGTAGAGGTCCGTGTCCGGGTTGGGCAGGCGGATGCCGCAGCCCACGGTGCCCCCCGGGAAGGGGATGAGCCGGGCGTAGAGCCACACGGGGGTGATGCTGACGAAGGAGAGGGCCCACAGGAGGCAGATGACCAGCGTGGCCACCGAGGGCTTCCGGAACCTGGTGGAGGAGATGGGGTGCACCGTGGCCAGGTAGCGGTCGATGGCCATGGCGGTGAGGATGTAGGTGCTGGTGAACTGGCTGTTGGCGTCCATGGCCGTGATGAGGGTGCACATGGTCTCCCCGAAGTGCCAGACGCCGTTGCCCATGAGCTGGTGGATCATGAAGGGCATGCCCAGGAGGAAGAGCAGGTCCACCACCGAGAGGTTGATGATGAAGATGTCGGGGACGTTGCTGCACCAGTGCAGCTTGGATTTCTTGGCCACCGCGAAGATGACCATGGAGTTGCCCACGATGCCCAGGAGGCAGATGGTGCCGAACACTGAGGGCATGATGATGTTGACGTAAGACATGCTACCCCGGCGAGGAGGCGGCCCTGGGGACAGAGGCCGAGGGTCAGTCAGAGGCGTGGACTCCGCTCTCAGGGCTGGCGTCCTTCTGGCCCGCTCAGCCTCTGTGTCCACCCTGCCCTCCCGGCCCAGGGCCCGCCGTTGGTCCAGAATCTCTCCCACTGTGCTCCCTCCACACGCGGTGGCTCACCTTGGCCTCCTCCGCCGGTTTCCTGGCCGATCCCAGGTTCGAACCCACTGCCTGTCCGTGGAAGGACCCAGTCCTCTGCCTTCTGCATTGTTTCAGGCGACACAGAGCCAACAACGCAGCTGTGGGCCCCGCTGGCTTAGCAGAAGGACATGAGAATGTGTGTGTGTGTGTGTGTGTGTGTGTGTGCATCTATGCACATGCTCTTTCCCTATTTGCAGTCGTGACCATTTCGTTTTAGAAATTGCTGGTGGAGCTGTGACTGCTTCCTGGGCGTCTCTGAGGGGGACTGTCTTGCGGGGGCTTCTGCCCAGGAGGTCCTCTGCCCTCCCCGCTCCTGGGACCTACAGGGGTCTCCTTGGCCTGGGTCCTCTGAGCCCGACCCCCACCCGGGGAGCAGGAGCTGAGGTGGGCGCTGCAGCCTCACCACCGAGAACTGTCTTCACACAAACCTTCTTCCCTTCCTTCCGTCTCCCCCAAAGCCAGACCCGCAGGCACCGGGGCGCTGGACCTGTCAGTCAGGCGGCTCCCTCAGCAGGAAAGTTAATCCCCGTGAGGTACCCCTTCCCACAGCCTCTCCGGGGCAGCGGATGGTCAGGTCCATCGCCACCTTGGAGTGAAAAGCCAAGGGGACTGGTGAATGGGGGAATCAGGGCGCCTCCAGGTGCCTCCCCGCAGATTGTCCTCCAGCCCCTCTCGCCGGCTTTCCCAGCCTGGAAGCTTTCCTGAGAGCCTGTTTGGAAGGCATCAGCCACCATCCCTGCCTCTTCTGACTGCGCTGCTGCCCCAGCTCCTTCTGCCCTGGCCTGCCCCGCCCCCTTCCCCTTCCCCTGCAGCCTGCAGCCTGCAGACCTGGAGGTAAAGTTTCCCAGGCAGTTTGGCTCCGAGGTGCCCCGGCTCCCTCTCCCTCCCCAGCGCCAGGGGGAGGCTCCCTCGCCCGCTCACCTGCGGAGGTGAGGTTGTCCCGGCCGGCGGACAGGTTGCTGGCGTTGGGGCCAGTGGTCAGCAGCAAGGCTTCCAGGTCCATCCTGCGGCGCCCGTGGCCGCTGGTCCGTCCGCCCCCGTGGCTGCGGCAGCCTCCGTGCCCGGCGCCCGGCGTCCTGTCCTGGCGCGCGAGCTGCAGTGCCTCCCGGAGGGGGGCTCCCCGGCAGCCTGGCAGCCTCAGCTGCCTCTGAGCCCCACTCTCTTCCCACTCCCTGCCTCCCGGCTCTCACTGACATCACCTACACACATTAACATTCGGAGGCAGATGAACGTTAACCTCTTCAGTCCCGGGCTGCGGCTCCCACGCCTGGCTGCCCGCAGAGCCAGGGGCCCGGGAAGCCCGGAGGGACCCCTGGCCCAGGGCGCCCGGCAGAGAGGGGCTGCCTTCCCCCTGTGCTCAGGGGAGCGCTGCTTGCTCCACGTGAGGTGCCTGCAAAGGACAATGGGCTGCCTCCCGCTGGGGGAAAGGCAGAGCCTGGCCTGGCCCCCAATCCCAGGTCTGGGTGGCTGCCCACTGGAGGGGAGGAGATGGCTGATCTCAGGGCTTGGGAATGGAAGCTGCAGTCACAGCACGCCTGCCCCGCACTCACCCTCAGCCCCTTCCTAGAGCCCAGGGAGTCCAGCCACCGTGCTGGGGAGATGGCCAGTGGCCAGTGTCCTTTCAAAGCTAAGGAGCTGTGGGCTGCTGAGCCTGTGACGGGCACTTTGTGCTGGTGATGGCAGAGTCTCAGAGGCCAGAGGGCTAAACTCCCGTCTGCACAGGGTCAGCAAGGACCAGACTCACAGAGGTTCTGTTTTCCCAAATGCTCAGCGGTCCTTGAGGCTTCTATCTGGGGTTCCTTGAGCATCGACCCCGCAAAGAGGTCACTAACCAGGAACAGCCTCAGAGGGCAAAGCATGGCGGGAAGGCTCTGCAGAGGCGTCCTGAGGCCCGGCCTCAGGAACCCCTCCGAGCCCGCAGCTGCCACCCACCCACCGCCAGACTCAGGAGCTGGGGGTTCAAGCTCACCATCGTCTGATCCTTACACGCTTCTTCAGCCTCATTATTTATTTGCTTCATCCAACAAGATGTCTGTTGGGCACTTACTGCTTCCCACATACTGCTCCAGGCTCTGTAATGGAAACGAGCGATCAGGTCCCCGCGGCCCTGTCCTCATGGAGATCACATGCACACCGGGAGGAGACAGAAGATGCTAATGGAGGAGACAAGCTGTGATCCTGGCAATCAGTGCGGTGAAAAGCTTACAGCTGGGCCGGGCCAGGGAGCAGGTGGGAGGTGGGGTTTGCTGTTTGACACAGGACGGCCTCTCTGAGAAGTGTTTCGGGAAGAATCTTAAAGGAAGAGAAGAGGATGTTTGGAAACATCTGCAGGAAGAACTTTCCAGGCGGCAGGAACGGCCAATGCAAAGGCCCCGGCGCAGGCGTGGGCGGGTCTCTGGGCAGACCAGTCAGTGGGGCCGCAGGAGAAGGAGGGAAAGGTTAGCAGAACCCACCCGAGAGGAAGCAGGGAAGGGTGGGCTCTGCCAGGCCGTGCCAGCTGTGGCAAGGACTTCGCCGTTCCTTTTAGGGGAAATGGGGGTCACTGAGGGTTTCAGCTGAGGAGGGACATGATCACACAGGCTTTTAAAAGATCAGTCTGGCCCGGCCTGTGTGGCTCAATGGATTGAGGTCACTGAGAGGTCACTAGTTTGATTCTCGGTCAGGGTACATGCCCAGTTGCGGGCTTGATCCCCAGTAGGAGAAATGCAGGAGGCAGCCAATCTATGTTTCTATCTCCCCCTCTCTCTTCTCTCTCTCTCTCTCTCTCTCTCTCTCTCCAACAACAACAACAAAATGATCAGTTTGTTTCTGGGTAGCAAGGGAAACAAAATGAAAACACATGTTAGCCTGGGTTTCCTTGAACGCAGAGGCCGATAAGCGAAATAAGCCAGAGAAAGATAAGTATCACATGATCTCACTTATATGTGGAATCTGATGAACAGAACAGACTGATGAACAAAATAGACCCAGAGAGACATACGAGGAGAAGCATGGAACAGACTTGTCAATCCACAGAGGGAGGGTGGGTAGGTGGGTAGGAAGAGATCAACCTAAGACCTTGTATGCATAGATGCATAACCAATGGGCACAGACAATAGGGTGGTGAAGGCCTGGGGTGGGGGGTGGGGGGTGGAGGCTCATGGGGGAAACATATGTAATACTTTCAACAACAAAGATTTTAAAAGAGAGCAGAAGCTGAGACATGGACTTACGTCCACATGGCTTTTCTGAGAGATGACCACGGAGCCAGGCATGAAGCAGCAGGGACAATGAGACAAGAAAGGAGAGACAGGCAATGTAAGGGTGTATTTTCATTGTTGCCGCTGTGGGCCTCGGGAGCTTGAGTTCACAGGGTCCTTGAACAATGCACAGACTGTGTTCCCCAGAACCCCCACCTGCGGGAGGGGAGGCAGGATTTCCCAGCTGCCCCGCCCCCCACCGGGTGAAGGTTGCCCCTGGATGTAAACTCTGCACATCAGGAGTCAATGGGGCCAAAAGCAGGGGGACGTGCAGCTCACTCGTGAGGCGGTGGACTGTCAGGTGAATTTTGTGCTGGAGCCAAAAGGGGCAGCTCAAGCCCAGGGCAGAAAGCAAACGGACATGAGGTGCTCACCTGAGGCAAGACACTATTGGCACAAGATCAGCTGAGCCCAGCCCAGTGCCCACTACAGCTGGAGCTGAAGTCAGAGGTGGCCAAGAGGCAGGTGTATAAGCTATAGAAGGCTATTGCAATAATCCAATAGAAAAATGGATTAGGGAGGTGGAGGTGGAGGTGGAGGTGGGGAGAAACGGTTGGTTTCTATACACCATGTAGAGCCCAGAGGATTTGCTGAAGTTTTGGATGAGAAATATGCAAGAGAAAGAGGCATCAGATCCCAGCAAAAAGGGGGAGCAGTGTGGTGCTGGGATCCCAAAACCCAGGGCAGCCCAGGCCACCAGTCCCCCCTGTTAGGCCGGTTTGCCTTCAGCGCGGGGACCATGATTCTTAGTCTGGTGTCAGGCACAGCTGCGTGTCCGTCATGGAGTCTGGGCACACCCCAGCCTGCTGCCCCCCCCCCACACATCCCCATTTAGACATTCACATTGCACCCTGCTGTTCCTCATAGCAGTCACCACAATTGTAACCATATAATTATTCATGTAGGTCAGTGGTCGGCAAACGGTGGCTCCAGAGGCGGCTCCACAGGCCACTTGAGTGTGGCTCTCCCACAGAACACCACGGCCTGGGCGAGTCCAGGGTGAAGAAGTGGCATTAGAAGAAGTTTAAGTTTAAAAAATGTGGCTCTCCAAAGAAATATCAATCGTTGTGCTGCTGATATTTGGCTCTGCGGACTGATGAGTTTGCCGACCACTGGTGTAGGGAATTCTTTACTGTCTTTCCGTCACTATGTCAAGTCTTTCCTCCATGGATGCAGAGACCAAGCCGGCCTATTCCTCACTCCATCTCCTGTGCCCGCTTCAGTGCCAGCACATGGTGGCCATTCCGTAAATGCTGGGTGAACGAACGGCTAACAGAGGACCTCATGGGAGGGGTCCTGGCACAGACGTGGGCAGAGGAGAGGGCAGCACAAGCAATACTGCCATGCTCCCCGACCCCAAGGCTCCTCCACGCAGCCCCAGTGCCTCCTGGCTGCCATGGCAACAGTGGCCACAATGCCTGTGAGCGGGCGAGGCAGCCCACAGGCCACCGCCAGGCTCCTCCCGATGGCGAGAGAGACAAGCAGGATCGCCTGTAGGTTCCACGATTCCGAGACGGGGATTCAGCCTAAGGATTCACAGGAATCCCGAGGGAGCGTGGGAAAGCAGCTCAGCTGAAAACGCATCTGACATCCTGACACGTGCTGCGACGTAAGGACACTGAAGGCAGTTCGCTACGGGAAAGGAGCCAGCCACCAAGGACAGATACTTGACGATTCCACTTACGTGACGTGCCCGGAGGAGCCAAATGCACGGAGACAGAAAGCGGGATGGGGTTTGCCAGAGGCGGGGCAGAAGGAGGAACAGGGAGTTGCTATTTAAGGGGGACAGAGTTTCAGTTTGGGGAGATGAAACATTGCTGGAGATGAGTAGGGGTGATGGTTGCACACAACATGAATGCCACTGAACTGCACACTTAAAAATGGTTAAAATCTGCCCTGGCTGGTTTGCTCAGTGGATAGAGCGTTGGCCTGCGGACTGAAGGGTCCCAGGTTTGATTCAGGTTGCGGGCTTGATCCCCAGTGGGGGACGGGCAGGAAGCAGCCAATCAATTATTCCCTTTCATCATTGATGTTTCTATCTCTCCTCCCTCCTCTCTGAAATCAATAAAAATGTATTTAAAAATTTTTAATGGTTAAAATTTATTTTATGTTATGTACATTTTACCAAAATTTAAAGACATGCTAGTTTTTCAAAAGGGAGGGGTATCACGTACAGCAATTCAGGTCAAGAACCTTTTATAAGATTCAAAAGCCCAATATCAGTCCTATTCTTATAAACTGCAGCTTGTTGCATGTTCAGTTAAATATCTTTTCCTAATAGAAAATGAAAAACTAAAAACACTGTCACCACTCAGGGCCCCCCCAAAGATCCCAAAATACCAGGCCACACGGAGAGCTGGGTAACCCTGCCAACACCTTTGGGAGAACAGATCGAGGGAAGTACGTCATCTGCCTTCTCTGTGGGCGCCCAGCCCTGTGCTGTTCAGGAGAGAATCTGATTTTGCCCTCTATCAAGTACTAGGAATCTATGTTGGATACCAAGTCACCCTAGACCATCGGCACTAGTCTAAGGTGCCGTCACCAGGGGGAGAAAAGCTGACTTTACTTGTCAGAAATCATAAGAGTTGTGTAAATTGCACAAAGAAATAGCTGTTTACGGCCCATTTTCCTTTAAAAGGAGCTCTGTAATATTGCCAAGACAGTTCAGTGAGGGGAAAAAAATAGCCTTTCCAACAAATGATGCTGGGACAACTGGATGCACACACACACACACACACACACACACACACCAAGTTGGACCCTT